AAGGATTTACCTTCATCTGAAGGTAACCAACATCCTGCTGCTGCAAAACGTTCAAGATACTGTATGTGCGTCACACCCACTCCCGCTGAAGTGCTGGAAGGCGCACTAGAGTTACCACGGCGATTGGCGGAGCCTCGCCTCCACCTGTCAGCCACGTCGTTGTTGTGACTACGAGCTCTGGCAGGGCATCCATTCCACCTGTGTGCAGTTAACCTCTACACCTGTCTCATGAGAGACAGGGTGTTTAAGACCAGGCTCCTGTCAACTCCTTGCTCAGTCTTAGAGGTTGTGTTCAGTCTTTCACCCTCTTGTCTCGGCATGTTTGTCTTTATATGCAATCGACTTTTGACCCGTCCCACTTGGGGTGTGGTCCCAACTTGCACCCCTTGCTTCTCAGATGTGCTCCCCTTGCCAGCATTGGGCAGTGTTCTGGTGGCAGATGTTTTCATGTGTACTGATCAATTCATAACTCACTCGTCTACTGCTCAGCATGATCCCTCTAACTGAATGATAACTAATGGAATGCAACTTGCTCAGATCATTTCAGAGACTGTTCTTGCTAAACTACTTATTTTGTGAAAGAAGGGAAAACAACGACATTAAATCAGGCAGAAAACATGCAATAGGGTAGCAAAAAGCAGTAAAGGTGCTTCTTTAAAACATTTTTTTTTATCTTTTTAAGATGTGTATAGCTGAAGTCAATAAGGGTTTTGCACTGAGGTTAACACCACCTGATTAAACAGTGTTTAATCAAATTTGAACTAGTTAAACTGTGGAAATGCCTAATGCTAATGTGCATAACCATGTGCATTACTAGTCTTTAAAGTTTTTAGAGCAATGCTTAATGGTAGCCACACTGGAGAATCACAAGTACAAAAGATACAGTAAGAGATCTGCAGAGCAAAAAAAAAAACATCTGGGCTATTGAAAGAATACTGATTTATGGTTATGCTAATGATGGAGTTTCATGTGATTTGGTAACGTCACTTCTGTTAGTTCAGTATATCTGTACCAGATGTGCATTTTCAAGTTTAAGTCATAGTCTGAAGTTACACTGAGTATAATATGACAATTATACTGTATGACTCTGTCTGTCTAAATTCACTCATCACTGCTTGCAGTGTTTCCAAAGTGCAGCAATGAACAAATATGCTACTAGTGCAAGATGAACATAGACCCAAACTTCCTAGAGCCCTTCTAGGGGATGATGTTTTTTTTTTCATAGAGAATACTACAATTTTCCCTACTGAGCACAGGTGTAGTTGCTTCCATTGTGAACACTTGTGCCCTAGTCCTGTGTTGAAAGGGTGCTGGATTGAATCCTATTCATGCTGACCAAGAAACCTTGTCTATCAGATCCACTAGTTATATTGCCAAGAAATGAGAAGGGAAATGGTTATTAAACAAAAAATTTGGGTAACAATTTGCCATGGAGGTGGAAAATTGAAAACATTAATGGTCTCTGACATCATTTATAAACCTAATAACCCATTTTATAGTCTTGCAAAGTGAAACCATGAACAGTAACTACGTGGGAGGAAGGGCTTGACACTTGACCTCAAGAAGTGTCTGATAATCCCGTCTTTTCAATATAATTCTGTGTTATTTTTTCTACACAGATAAAATAATATGGAATACAGAGCCCAAATATTACCCATACAGTTGTGAACGTTTTTTTTTCAGATACTGTATGTCTAAAACTCAACATGTAAGAAAGCTGTGTTTAAGTATCACTCTCTATATATTCCACACAGACTTCGTAATTTGAATTGTATAAATTTGCCGTTAAGAGTATTTAATTAGTAAAAACATCCAAAACATTGTAATTCAGATTATTGGTTTCACATACAGCATGCTTTTTTAGCCATATCAATAAAACTGATTTCAAGTAAAACCTTGAATTATTCATACTTGAAAGTAATTATTTTATTCACATGATGTCAGTGATAATAATGGTAAATTTTATTTTTAGTAATGATAAGAAAGGAGACAGGCAGAATATTTCAAAGGATATTACAGGAGGCTTTTGTCTTCTTAATTATTATACTCAATGTTCTCATCTGACTCTTGAGCATAGTAATAACAGGAATTAGGAGAATTGGCTATTTTATTAATATTAACTCTCTAGCACTGACATATTATCCCATACTGAAATACATAAATGCCTGTTTTGAGAGTAAGACATTTCAAGGCAAGCAAAATCCAGAGACATATGTTAATGTGAACAGCTAGTCTGCCTCTCACTTTGTCAAAGATCATATCTTCAGATCTGCAGAGATTTCACCAGTGTCAGGCTCTGGTTCGTGAAAAAGAACTGCACATTGTTGGTTATGATGTCCATGTTGTTGACAGAAATACAGCACTACAATTGCTATGGGCTTCATTACCAAAACGCACAGCAGCTGCTGTTTATGAATTTTCTTTTAATGGACAGTATAACTCCCCTTGGTTATCCAAGACTGGTAGACAGGATCCTCAGAGAAACAATTGACACTGTTGTGCCAAACCAAGGGCATTGGCTGAAAGTCTTCTTTATTTCATATGCATATGGGAGTCTTGCTCTTGTACACAAGACTCAAAAGATAACACTTACAGTGCTCTTTTATCCAGTGAAACAAATGATACAAGATGCACTCCCACATGAATCTCTGCTTGCATTGTGGCTATATACTGTATGGTCATTCTAGAAAGCTGACCAGTACATATATTTTCTTTACTACTGGCTTGCGTGACAAGCAGCCCCTTCTGTTGAATAGACCATTAGTTCCAGGAGAGGTCATTATCCCTGATAGCTATGCCAGCTATGCATAAAGATACAATGTGGCTTTATTATCTTTTGAGACAAGACATCCTGAGACAGAATTAGTAAAATACAGTTACAGAAATACATACCCAACAAAATATACTACAAACCTTTAGTGAAAACGTTTAGTTAATTCCCTCAACACTGATCACATAGTAAGGGATTGTGACTCTGACATTTCTGTAAAATCACTGGACAGTTTTGGGAGATAATAAGTTATGTCAAAGTGTATGAAGAAGAATTAAAAAAACAATACCAAAACATGATATTCCAAATAATTGAAACAAAAGAAAAAAAGGCTGAAGTTAATATTGGTACTTTATGTTTTGTCTTTTAAATGGAATGTATACAGCAGGGGGTCCAATAATGGATTACCTGGTTCTTACTTTTTGACATAAATCTGAAGGCCAAACGTTTGATAAAGAAGAACTCATAATACACAGATGCACTACTACAGCAAACAAGAGGCATGTTCCCTTTAGCTTTAGATATGACTTCGTATCTACAGTAGATATGTACTGTATATTTATCTACAGTAGGTATGTACTGTATATTTAAAATAACCTTGTGTGCAGCAGTGATATAGTGAGATTTATCAAACAGCATTTTTTTCAATTAGTCTATCCAATTAGTTCTGTTAATTATTATGGAAAAGACCTTATTGCATTCTTTTTGATAATGCGTAATGACATTTTCTATAAATAAAATAGCATGCTGCCACAGGCTGGCAAAATACCTAAGAATCCTTTGACAGCTTTGTGCTGAAGCTGCCAGAACACAGTCCCTTACCTGGATTAAAAGGGTTTAACTCTAGGGAAATTAATTAATTTCTGGCTTGTTTTCTCTGGGAGCTACAACCCTGATCCTTGCCAGTGATATGATGTGCATAGGCCTGAAGTAATGGAGGATTAGTGGAATTTACAGAGAATGTCTCCTCAACTAATTTTGGGTATAGGCCAGGCCTAGAGTGCACTGTAGAACCTCATCTGCATTAAGGCACACGTGTTAACCTATCACATTCAATAAGTGCTCAAAGGCAGAAGAGATATGAAAATGCCTAATAATTAAGAAAAATGAAATGGTAGGTGCAGCAGATCAAATAGGAATACATTTGTAGAAGATGTTAAACACATGGACTGTCTATATCCTTTTTTAGCAACAGTCTATCAAGGTGTTTCAATGCAGTGTTTATATATTTAACTTACTGTATGTGAAACATAGTCACATTAAACAATGAGTGCATACTCTAAGTATTATTTTGTATGTACAGTATAGCTGCACTGCAGCAGATATGCTTTTGCAGTTTCCAGTTGGCTTGAAAAGTGATCCATTATCACTCAGAAAGCTTGCCCCATGTTGTTCAGCATGTAGTTGAGATCTGTGTCACTTTGAAGGCAGGGCCCTGTGCTAGTACGTTTAGCCAGGCTACCACTATCATTACTGCACAGCCTCCTGATAGCTCCTAAACTGCTGTCTGAGTAGTCATGTGGAAAATGGGTGCTGACCCTGTTAGTTTTGCCTTTCAATCTTGGCTACATTTTAAATAAAGGAGAGGACTCAGTTGGACATTGAGAGAGTTTCCATGGCTTTACAATGTGTGGCCAACTAGTTTACCTAAAAATATGAACCTTTTGATTTGTCTGATCGGTATAGCGTGTTACAGAGGGATTTCTGTGTGTTTGTTAATGCAATTTGGTCTGTACCTGTCCTGAACCCTGGGTGCTTTCTCTGGACAGCAACTTCTGCTGCTACACAGCACTGCAGCACCCAACTGAGTGATGCAGGGCTGGCATTATGCAATCCCACTAAACAGCAGGTCAGGTGGAGAAGTGAAAATAAATTAAGGTCAGGCTATTCAACCCCAAAGTGGAATTCAGTCAGTACACTACTGTAGGTAACACTTGCAGCTAGTGCCACAGGATCTTTAATGACCAAGCAATCAGGACCTCACTTTAACTCATCATTCGAAAGGCTGTATTTCCTACAACACGGTGGCCCTGGTCATTATGCTTTGGCATTAAAGTAGAAAGTCTCCAGGGGGTGCTTCAATAGGTGTCATTCCCCGTATCTAGATCTGCTGTAGTCCAGGAGCAGTATAATACACAACACAGGTTACAAAATCTCATTACCCATAACACTTCCTCTCATTAGCCATCCACACTGTGACTTACAGTACTTGTATGCCACTGTCCTGCAGGAGCTCCAGAATGGCATCAGGCACCAGCAGGCTCTGGTCTCATCACTGAATGCCACCGGGGAGGAGATCGCCCAGCAGTCGACATCGGAAGACGCCATCCTTTTCAAGGAGAGACTGACGGGAGTCAACGTGCGCTGGGAGGAGGTCTGCCGGCAGGTGGCCGAGAGGAGGAGGAGGTAGGAGTTACAGGAAAAAATTCCCACGTTCTCTTAGACAGGATTTACAGGATGGCCCATCGTTAGTTATCCTCATAACAGTAGGCGTTCCCTGTATTTTTCCTGACCTGAAAGACAAAGGCAATTAAATGTTTAATTTAATAAAAAAATAAATAAACATTGTCACTGTTAGAAACCATGAACGAATGTGCGTGTGTATGTAATTTTGACACTGCACAGCAGTTCAAAATATCCTGTAGTTGCAGATATAATTTCTGGAAAAGCATTTAAATGTACACCTGCCGATTGTTGCAGTATATTCATAACAATATCTGAATCGGACCATTATGGTTTTAATTAAAAGCAGTTTTACAGCTACTTGCCTTAACTATCTAGTTTTTGGAGTACACCTCTTTCTTTTTCCATCAGATATCACTGTGCAAACAGGTGGAACTTTATGTTATTATCTCCTAGAGGGAATTCCACAACACCTTACAATCTTCCTGGGAAAAGGAACAATGGTTCCTCAAACCTGCTTGTTAAACACTTGTATAGTAAATTTAACAAAACAACATCACTTTATCAACCCTTTACAATTTCTTGCATTAGGAATTATCTTTTCGCATACCCCAGCTTGCTCTCCATGAGACACACAGACAGGGAGAGAAGCTGGGGGTCAGAGCGCAGGGTCAGCCATTGTACAGCACCCCTGGAGCAGCTGGGGTTAAGGGCCTTGCTCAGGGGACCAAGAGAGTAGGATTCCTCTGCCAGCTGCGGGATTTAAACCGGCAACCTTCCAGCCACTGGTGCAGATCCTGAGCCACAGGGCCACTGCTCCGCCCTTTTTTTTTAAACAAATACTGTAATTAAGCGATATCCACTGTATGGTGTGTACAGTACAGTGTATCTAATCACATCTTGTAAGTGCAGTAGAGAGCTGAAGGTTATTTTTTCACAGACCTGTTTTTATTAGGCATTTTGACATTTCCTCCTCCCATGACATTTTCTCAGTGCAAATGAATAAAATGACACATTGAGATTGTTTGGGCCAAAGACAGCTCCCTCCAAAAGGCACAGTGTGTAGATGAGGTATCAGGCAGACTGTCAATAGATGTTTTCAGAAGCTTCATGTTTAATTTTCAGCTTGTCTGCTGTCAGATGTCATTGCCAGTGGCTTAGTAAGAGAAATTATATGGATTTAAAAAGGAAACGGTTTAAAGAGCTCTTCATGTAGAAATGAAACCATGTTCATTTTGGAGAATAAAGTCATGTTCAGGAACCTTCATCCAGCAGTAGAATCTGAGCAGGCTTACTGAGGCAATAGTGCTGGCATCCTCCCTCCTGCCTTATTGTGTCATCCAACATAATGAAAGATCTCACTTAAGTGCGTCCATTAATGTTAAATGATCCACCTTCTTCAAAATGGCTGGTGTATTTATTTAGCTGTTTCTAAAATAGGATTTTCAGCCACAAAAAGATGTCCTTTTAAAGCATTTGCTTTACACGTAAAAGCTGATAGAAGTAATCTTAAGCACACAGTGCTGAAGTACTGCAATAAACTTACCCTTGCTATTAGACCAGATATTGACAATTTTATTTTTATGGTGCAATTGCAGTACCTGACTATAGTAATGTAATGACACACTTTAGATTTAGCGTTACCAGCTTGTTAAATGTCAGAAGCTAACCAAATCTGGGTGTTGCCAGCCCTGGGATGGGAGGCTCCCAGAAAAAAGAAGGTTGCTCCTCTAACTGGTGTTGGTGTGCCAGTCGGTGGCACTATTGCATCTTGTCCAGACTTTCCAAAACAAAAATCCCAATATGGACCTAGGATTCCTACACACCTGCTCGTATTAAGCTCTAAGCCCTGACTTAATATGATTAATTTGAACTATTTGATTGTGTTCTACTCTTGAACATGTTGGAAGTTGCCTTTTAACTATTGCTTATTGTAAGTGGCTTAAAATTCATTACTGCTTCGGTAGAAAAAAGAAACATACAAATCTGCCTACCAAGAAACCTTTGAGTTAAATTGAGGCTTCAGTTCAGTAATTAAGCTAAGACTGTGGTGGCCAGGATCAGGTGGGGCTGTACATTTGAGATGGTGAGCGAAGCCCCCAGTATCTGCTTTAATTGGCATGTCCAGAAAAGCACTATATAAGTGTAAGGCTTTTTATTATCAACATGATCATGATCAAACGTGGGTCTAAAATCTATTTTTCAAAGGCTTATCACAACTAATGCAAAATATCATAGTCAAACAGGTCAATCAGATTTGTATAAATAGTAATTAGGGGCTGCACTGCCGTATGTATTGCCATTTTAAAGTTTTTTAACACGTTTCACCCTTTTCATTACTGCTGTAAGGCTATTTTTATCTACTTTTTAGACCCCTAGTAATGCTTGTAATCTGATCACAAAATCAAGCTACTGCACAATTCTAAACACAATTAAAGTCCACAGGAACAAGATTTTGTTCCCTAGTGATTACCTCAATCCCAAACATTGTTCAATTGGATTTGTTTTATGTTATCTTAGTGTTCTCCTTCTTTAAAAAATAAAAATAAAAAAATGTAATTGATGTGCATGAATCTGATTTGTGAGCTGTCATATCTTGTGTTTCAAAGTGGAATTTTATATTTTGATGAGGAAGGAAGGCCACAGATTTGATTTTGTATGTATTGGTCTGTCATGGGCATCATTAATGTCATAATGATGAATGAAGACTGGGACCTGATCTCTGAATTAAAATATCAAATATCAACCTACTGAGTACATCAGAAAGATAAAATGAGAATAAATTGGTAATGGGTAACCTTTAGATTATTGACAGCTGTTGAGGTTAATCATATTTCTTTAAACATGTTTTTTTTAATAGACAACAAAATGAAACATATGCTGTTTGGATAAATTCAAAGCAAGTATTGCTTATAGAGACTTTATGAAAACTCTTTTTGAGTAAAAAGATGTTGTATGTTGCATGGATTTAAGCTATCCATGATTTAAGTAATTCTGAACCATTACCGTTACGGTCGCTTTTGAAGGCATGCAACACCAAGATTTTCTTTAAAAGAACTTCGTGTGTGACCCCATGTGAGTGTGGGTATCCAGTCACAAATATATTCTATATTTTATATTGTTTGTAATCTATATGTCCTGTAAACATGCAATATGAATATCAAGAAGGTATCTCCTTTTTAGGTAGATATTGACCTACTGGAGTGAAGCTGTGATACAATTACTACCTCAAGCAAACAGCATTTGTTTAGGGCCCCAAACCATGTTGTGTATATTATAGTGCCTTTATTTTTGCTGTGAAATATTGCCCTGAAGAATTACCTCTATAAATAATATTGTCACGATCGCAAACCCCGGCTCTTAAGGGCTCTCCAGCCCTTCCTCATTTGCATCACTCCCGCCACCTGTTCCTTGTTTCTCCCCGGTTCAGTTCGCCTTTATAAGCCAGGCACTCACCTTACTCGTGGCTCTGTATCTGAATTCCACATTGTGCGAGCCCGGGACCTGGTTGCGCCTGGCTCTATCATGTTTTTAGCTTCCTGCTCCTGTCCTTGTTCCCCCCGCCGGTCCCAACCCGGCACCTGATTTTAATCTCCTGTTTGGACTAATTTCTCAGCCTTGGACCTTTTGCTTTCGTTTTGGATTCTCCCTTTGGAATTATACTGGACTGTTCACCTCGGCCACACCTCCCCAGATCACCACCACCGAATGGACACGCCCCCCCGTTTTCATCCCCAATCCTGCATGACTTTTCCCTGGTGTTTCCTTCCTCACTTTTTTGGATTGTGTCGTCTGCATAGGGTCCGGAAAGAACTGTTCGTTACAAATATTTTCTACACATATAGTATCATTGCTGGTGTCCTTGGCGTGACTGCTTACCACAATCCTTCATTTCTGATTATTAATCAAGAAAAAGGATTTAATTTTTTTTGCTTGACATTTTGAAATAAAATACTTATATTAAAATACCATTTGGGGGTATGCAAAATGGTTTAAAATGGCGATTGAGCGTGTATCTAATGCACTTTGTTTAGAAAAAAATATAAATAATGAGGAACTTTTGCATTTTTATATTCATACAGTTTTCTAACCCATTTGTTACTGTATTATTATATTGTTTTTATGTTATCTTTTGTTATTGTGATATGTATTATTATAGTATTATTATATTGCTATTATAATTGTTATTATGTTATTATGTTGTTAGAGTGAATGTTGTTTTCAATACACCTGCTCTTTCATTTACTTAAAATTTGGTATCTGCTTCAATGAAACAATAGTTCAGCACCTATGCTTTTCAAGAAATCTTCAGAAGAAAGGAATAAGGGTACAAAGTGACAAAGGAATAGGCAGCTCCAGTCCTTAAGGGCTTGGTTTCTGCAAGATTGTGAGGCACCTTTCAAACAAGACATGATTAAGACCTGCAAAACACAACTGATTTGCCTACTTATCCAATAAAAACAGAAACTAATGTGACACCTGATGACTGGAGTTCCTCACCTCTGATCAAGAGAATATCTGCTAAATTAACAACTTTTGAAAAACAGTTCAAACGTGTTCAGTATTTAGTTTTCTTAATCCATGGTCGTTTTTGAATTTCTGCATACAAAATAACATTTTCTGAAGTTTGCCTCAGACTGTATTTATTCCTAATTGTTTCAGAGCATAAGAATGTTTACACATGTTATGGCGCTATCTGACTCATCTGCCTTGCTTGGAATCTAACAGCTAGCTGCCCCAAGGCTCTCAACCAGCTATTTCTTGAAAGACGCAAAGGTATCAGCCTCAACACCGTGCTGGGAGAGGATGTTCCACCTTCCCTTAAATCTTAAAGAATTAGAGAGTAGAAAGGTTTAGCTCTTTAAGCCTTTAAGTTTCGTGTTCATGAACAAATATTTAATTCAATTTAATTTAGTATTTTTTAGATGGCATACTTCCTGCAATTTGAGAATTAGATTTTAATGTGGAATTTTATTAGTCTTTTGAAAATCTAAATTTGCCTTTCATGTACTCTATTTGTTTCCATCATTGCTATTTTTGCAGAGACAGCCAGCGCATCATGTAAACAAGACCAACTTTACTTTTTCTAAATATTGTGTTTAGAGCGTACAATCAAAGGGTTATTCAATATACAGCTGTTGACTGTGCTTTTCTTTGTAAAAACCTTTCTGAGATATTCATTCAACACATTCACCATTTCCATTTCATCCTATAGATTTTTTTGTAATTCAGGTCTAATCTGTGTTTCATAATTTATTTTCAAAGACCTGATATGAAAACCTAACATAAATGGTGGTTTTGTAAAGATACTGTATCTGTCACGATCGTAAACCCCTCCTCTTAAGGATGCTCCAGCTGTTTCTTGTTTAGTACTCATTCCCTGCACCTGCCTCTGGCTCCTGCCCCCCCCGTCCTATAAAAGCCGGGCGCTCACTCTGTTCTGGGCTCTGCATTGGTTCCCATAACAGGCGAATCCGGGACCTGGAAGCGCCTGGTCCCGTCAAGCTTTTAAGTTTCTGTTCCTGCCGGTTCTGACCCTGTTCCTGTTTTTATTCTGTTCGTCTTGGATGGACCGCCCGGTTTTGGATTTTGGCCTTCTTTCAGATTACCCCTTGGACTTATTTCTGGATTGTTTGCCTCGGCCACACCTCCCCCAAACACCAACACACCATGGACACGCCCCCTGTTTTCATTCCCGACTCCCGCATGCTTTTTCCCCCGTGTTTTCCTGACTCATCCCCGGATTGTGTCGTCTGCATAGGGTCCGGAAAGAATGCTTTCGTTACAGTATCTTTTTGAATGGTTTTGTACTACTGTTATATGTTTATGATAATTTACAATGTAAAATGATCTGGGGCTTTTATTGTTGTAGTATGATGTTACTAATGCACCGTGAAAGGGTTTTGCTCTTTGGGTACAGAATGTTAAAAATTTGCTTTCCCTTTCATGCATGCCATTCAGTGGCTTTGAAGAGTAGTAGAACAAATGTGAAACAAGCGGTAATTAAATTAAGGCTGCTTTGATAAACATGCAAGGAGAAAATGGTCTTAAGATGGGTTTTTGTTGATTTTTATAAAATTATTTAAATAAATCTGTTCTGAACGGAAAATTCATTTAAATTACATTCGAAAATGCAAGGGAAAAAATAAGATTCCCCCAAACAATTTAAAGTCAGTTTTTATGGAATTTCATAAATGATAACATGGTTTTGAAGACAAAAAAGGGCTAGAACAATGTTTTTGACATTAATCGCAGCAGCTTTCTTTTACCGGAATCTTCACAGATACAGAAGCCTCTAAAAGATCTACAGAATATCAACCATTTAACATAAAAGGTTTCATATTAATGTGAAGTATTGCACACTAAGCTCTAACTGTTGTAATCGCTCTGTGTGAAATTACCATTGGAGATGCTGGTTGTAGTTGGAATCTGAAGGACATGAAAGATGAGGGAAAGTGTCAGCTTTGCTCTGAGAGCTTATGAAGGACCCCACACATTCTCAAAGCTCGGTATTCAGAAGTAGAAACTGTCACAAAGCGTTTTTCAGGACCCTATGCAGACAGCAGAATGCAGAGGGGAGAGAGACAAACCCGGGGAATAAAGACTGGGATCGGGGCTGGAGGAAGTATAGGGGGGCATGTCGACGGTGCGCTGGTGCCCCGGGGGGCGTGGTCCAAGGCAAACAAGTCCATTCATGACAGAGACATGACAGAAGTTTAATGCCGGAACAGGATCCGGCGAAGGGTCGGAGAATAAAAAGGGGTAATGGACTCCAAGCCCCAGGCCCAGATGGTCCTTAAGAGGAGGGGCTTACAATCGTGACAGAAACCTTTTGATCTTTTACAGTAGATTCTTTCAAGAATTGCTTCATGCTAAGATTAACCTGTCAGGGGCTGTACAGTGCTGGACGGAGAGGGTTAACAGCTCTGTGTCAAGAAAGCCTTTTATCTGAAAGTCAAGTTTCACAGCTCTGCGTTCTTGGGGCACTTTTGACCTATCATCCATGGGATTTTTTTCTAACCTGGCAAAGTTTCTGTCATGGAAAAACACAAAAACTACAGGAAATATATTTTGCATCAGGACCTGTTTCCTTCAATGTGCTTAGGAGGGGCATGTTCTTCCATTGAATACAGTGAATTCGCAAGAAATTGCAGTACTCTAAAACTACTTGTTTTGTATTACATTAGATTGAGTACCAAGTATCCATCCATTTTCTATCCACTTCATTCAACAAAGGGTCAGGGAGGCCTATCTTGGCAACCAGTACTACTGTAAATATATTTTCATTTTTTTTGTAAAATACTGAGAACCACATTGTTTGTTAAAACTGGTTTGCTCTAGAGGATACACTTTTTGCACAATACTGCGTAAACATTTTGTCTCTGCTTCAAATGCCTTTATAGTCTTCATTAGTGAGATCCCAGAATATTTTTGTCTTTTGGTGCACATTGAAGGTGGGAGTGTGATAAATGCAATAGCTTTAATTATATGTACAAATTGGCAGTTTAACATTTTCATTATGTATTATTCATAATAATGATATTTTAATATCTGTGCAGTTAAATATTCCAAATACATGTAGTTTGTTAACTATATTATTGCACTGTTATTTCTGTATAATTGGTTTTAATTTATCCTGATTTGTTTGATTAAGTATAAATAAGATAAAGCCTGTTTAGTGAACAAGAAGTCTACCCACCGTGCTGTATGGGGCTGAAACATGGGAAACATGCAGGAGACACTTAAAAGGACTTGACTCACTGGTGCTGTTTGCAGAAGATTTTACATATCAAGTGGAGTTTCTCTCCCTAGAAAGCAGCACAAGTAGTGAAGCTCAGATCACATGGATAGACTTCTGTCCACCAAAGAATGTTCTCCTCTCCCATTTTTGCCAAGGCAGCAATGCCAGAGGAAGACAGAAAAGGCATTTCTAAGATATGGTAAAAGCAAACATCGATTTCAGCTCCTGGGAGTTTATGGGCCCTAACTGAACCAGATGGAGAGGGGTTATCTGGGAAGAAGCCCAGCAGTTTGATGATACCCAAAGGTGTCAGAATTTGGAAGCAAAGCAAGAGTATTGCAGTGATTGCCATGACCACATAGTGCAGTGCCTGACCTGATATCACTAAAGACAACACCACTGCCTGACAGTGCCTGGATCCTGGATCACCCTTACAATTCACTGTTAGCACAGTCATCTTCAACTGCGAAGGATAATCAATAAATAAATCATACCGTTGTTCACAGACGTGAACCAGAAGAAGACGGTGTGAAACATCTGCTATTTTGTCTATATTATTATTTCAAACTATGCAGAAGAAATATATTTTTTTATATATGAAATTTGTAGCAGTATTTTAGTCTTGTACAGAGATGCAGATGCTTTAAAAATCACTTGGTAACCAAGTGAATGGATTAAGGAAGATAATAAGTGAGAAATAAATAAGAAAGAAAAGTGAAACTCAGACCAGAGGACACAAGTGGAAATGGGCAAATGCATTTAAAACAGGAGGCAATTCTTTCCACAAAGGGATGAGGGGACATTGCTAGCTTCTTTCAAGAAACTACTGAATGAGGACAAAATTGGAGAGTCTAAAATTAAAAACAAAAAGTAACAATCAGTGACATGATTGAATATGCAGCCAAATGTGTCTATCTGAATATTGTCAAGTCACAAATAATAAAAACGAGGCAGGGTCCTGGGGGAATATATGCTAGTCACTTGACGTAATTTACTGTCAATAGCTTTTTTCACTTTTTATGGTTAAAATATATTTATTCACAAAATAGTACTGTATGTTATGATGTTATGAAGGGAATAAGTAATGAAAAAACGAAAAAGGTTTCTGCATTAATGCTAACTCTCACTGCATTATTTATACATCATACTAAATCTTAAAGTACTGTAGGTGCTTGGCTTCATGTTTAAGGAAACAAATAGATTTTGCCAATGTGTACAGTGTGTCCTTCTATCAGATCAATGTGGAGAGAACTATTTTCATTGTGTCTGAAATAGGTTGTGACCTTCTGTCTTTATCAGGTCAGAGGAAGAGAAACATATCATCTCAGAACTGCAAGAAGACCTGAATGAGTTTCTGTCCTGGCTTGACAAGGCGGAAAGTATTGTGTCCCTTGAGCTGGAGTCTGGAGACGAACATCAGCTGAAAGATTCTCTAGAGAAAATTAAGGTAAACAAACCATTTGCAAATGGAGAAACATAGGCATGCAAATAAGATCGGTGCAGTCAGGTTTTAATTGACAAAACACTGCAATGATTATGGGAGCTAGCATAAGAAGTACATTGCATTTAACATTTAATCACTCAATTTGTAGTGGTTGTAACATTTTGAACACGTATTTCAGCTTGTAATATAATATTTATGTCCAATGTTAAGATGACACAGAGGAATAACAATGTTTAGGTGCAAGTATCTTTATTGCCAATTAACTGAATATATTATCCTTACTATTCCCAAAGACATACAGTATGTTCATAAAATTGGATGGATGTTATCTCTGCCAAACTCACATACTATTTTATGTCATATACAGTAGCTTTGTATAATAAAGTATAATTAAGTCTGTGAAAAAGTCTGTGAACATTTTTCCTGTAAGATAGTTGTGCTATTTTGAAGTAATACCAAACATTCACTTTACCAAAGAACTAAAGAACTGTTCTTACCTTTTTAGTAGCATTTCACATCTTTAATTGTTTAAAAAGCCAAGGATAGTAATATGATGGTAATAACTGCTACTCTTACTATTGCTATTACTCTTGCTTTTTCTACTAAGGTGCCAATAATGATGAACTTTAATTGAAAACATTTTTACATTCAGTGCATTACAAAAGTATTCAGACTCTTGTTTTTTCCATTTTGTTGCTTCAATGTCTACACTCATGACACTCTTAATTAGTAATAATTAATATCTGCCATATAGAAAGTCTTCTCAACACATTCAAAGCAAAAAAAGTAAATGGTTAATATTAAAACAAAATGAAAAGATCAAGATTTTAGTATTTAGATTCTTTGCAAACCTAAATTAATTTAGATGAACAAAATTACCTTACTAAATCACACAATTAACTGACTAGCCTCTGTCTGTGTGCAGACATGATCTCAAAGGAAATACACCAATCTTTGTGACTGCCTCTGTTACCTATAAAAGAATACAAACTTGTCTTCAAATAAACAAGCTATATCATTTTTGAATGAAATATGTACTCAATATCTTTTTGAGCTACAGTTTCTGCTGTACTGCAGAAATTAAAGGTGTTATTTCATCAAGAAATCATTGAAATTGTATGTAATGTCTTCCAATGCGTCATTCACGTATTTTCTGAAAACAGCCTGAGCTTTTCTTATTTTACTGGATTCCCCAGTAAATATATATATATATATTTCTTCTGTGGTTGATGCTGTCTGACGGCTTTAACCAGATTGATGGGCCTTCCACAGTGGCCAGTTCTTTTTCAGCAAAGCAGTCACATGATGCAGAAGCACTCCCTCAGGTTGCTTCTCCTGGGAAGATCATGGGAGCTTCCTAGCAGTTGGTTGCACTGTGGGAGTCTAGTCATGGCTTAAGGAAGTATCCTCAATGCCTTGGCAGCTACTGTACATTTTGTAAAGTTCTTGCCAGCAACACACCTAGAGTCTTTCACAGAGCCATGGCATCCCTGCCATTGTGATAAAAACCAGCATCCTGTCAGATTTTCATTCATGCAGACATCCCTTTTGCACATGAGAACTGACAAGCACATATTTCTCACCAAACGTGTTATCACATCTTTTATTTGTATTTCACACTCAGGAGGTAGCAGAATACTCAAAAAGTGCATCTTATTCAAGCAATGTGTTAGCTTGCTAGTGTTATGTAATTTTTAAGAGTGAAATATAAGTGTTGAATCTGTTTTATATATGTGTATATACATATGACGTATAATATATTACATATACAGTATTTTTAATATCTATACATGTACACCACTAATCTAGTTCCTTGTGATGATATACAAGAGAATAAAAAGCAAATACTAAATGTACAGTATGCCCCTTTTCCCCCACAGTTACGAGTGGAAGAGCTACCTTCAAGAAAGAAAATATTAAAAGAATTAAACGAAAGTGGAGGGCATCCACATGGAAGCACAGCACTTCCTTCTGAAGAGCAAAGGAGACTAGAGTGTGACCTGAAACTAGCCAACAGCCGCTGGACAAAGGTAATAATTTCATTACAATAAAGGTATTAGAATGTTAATGTTGCATTTTGTTTCTAGAAATCATTTCAAATTTTTGCTTTGAATACGTTTAAGGAAATTTACTATAAGTAAAATAAAATCGCTTTATTGGCCATATACAATTTCTTGGATTAGGAATTTGTCTTTTTGCATACCCCAGCTTGCTCTCCATGAGACACACAAATGGGGAAAGAGAGAAGATGGGGGTCAGAGCGCAGGATCAGCCATTTATACAGCGCCCCTGGAGCAGTTGGGGTTAAGGGCCTTGCTCAGGAGCCCAACAGAGTAGGATTACCACAAATTAGCATACTGTTGTATGACTGTTCTCATTTTTCCTGCAGTAAAGTTGTCACATCACGCCTACTGTAGTAGGTATTATCAAAAATAATATTCATAAAACAATCCTGAAGCTATTTAAACAGTTTAAAGGGCATATGGATGCACATTTGATTGTATACTGTATTTTCTCACTGCTCACCATCTAGTACCTTATGGTCATCTCTCACAGACGTTTATAATCTGATCTTTAAGGGTGACCCATCTGTAATGCATTCTTTCCTAGTGATTCAAGAATCAATCAACTATTGACTCCTGTGAACCTTTAGGATATACTGTAAAAGGGTGCCTTATATTGGATGTGAATGTTGGTACAGCTTATTATTTCTTTGAGCACAATAAAATCTTAATCATATACAGTATACTTAGTTTAAATAGTCATTTTTATCTTTAGATTTGCATAAGATAATTATGTTCTACTCAAACCTGATGCATTTTAATTGACTTCAAAACTGTATTTGAATGCCACAGTGTATTAATATGTTAATATAAATGCAGAAGGCTTCATTCGACCCTTTGTGCTAAATTGGGGCACAATTTAGAACTGACTTTCTTGTTTCCTTTTCTAATTATTCATTAAAAATTAATATCAAAGTCTAAATGAATAAAAAAAAACAATTATTTAAGCTCATTATAATTGACCTTTTAACCACAACATCCCTCTTTTTCATGCTTTACTGTTTTCCCAAGATAAGATGGCAATGCTCAGAAACCTAATTTTTAACACTCCATTTAATGGGTAGACAAAGATGGACTCTTGAGCATTGGAACAAATATTTTATCTGGCATGTATTATTGTACATCTTTAGTGTGAGCAAACTGTGCATATTGTTCTATTTTTGAGTACAATTTGGTGGAAAAGTGCACTGTACTGTATATTCATAAATATTAAAACATATCTTTACATAGCTTTAGCAATACTACAGGTTCAGGAGAGATGGGATACTTAGAGTGAACTCAAACCCAAGAAGTGATTTTTTTCAATGTTCCTCTGCATACACACTGTACATTGGATGTCTGTGTCCAATTCTAAAGGAATCCAACGTTGAAAGCACCTTAGATAATAGTAAGTGCTCATTTTGGTCATTTGGCAGTAACTTGTCTATAGTATAGTAAACATTGTCTCAAGGGTTTGTAACCATTTAGAAACTTGGAATATGATGGGTTGGAATGCATCCCCCTTTCATACTGAGTGATTTTAGTTATAACCTCAGCATGTGATAGGCATAAATCTCATCATAGAGAATTCCATTTGGCTCAGACAATTGTCATGCGATGACAAAAACAACTAGATTAGGAGCTTGTAAGCTCTCAAGAGAGGAGGAGGAGTGATGTGACTCTTAGATCTAATATGGATGAGACTGTTACATTGACTTTCAAGAGTCTCTGAAGAATATTTCAACTACCTTGTATGGGACAGTAAAGTTTGTGTGGATTGGCTTACCAAAGGTACTGTACCTATGTCAGTGGCTAAAATTCAGGGTCCAACCACATATCCATCCTTTGACTTACTGTTGATAAAATAGTTAACCAAAGAGGAAGGCAAACTGGTTACATTGCAATGCTGTTTTATGCAAGAAACTTAAAGTCCACACTGTCAAAGAGAAGAAAATCACATAAAATATTATCTTGGAGTTTGGTACTGTAATTAAAGGGAGTCTGGCATTAATCTCCAGGAAAGCCACAGCTACTGTAACTCTTGCCCCACAGCACGAAAATAATCATCTTGTAAAAGAGAAAATTTAAACAAAACTAAACTGATAAAAGGCACTCCTCTTTATCTTTTGCAAAGTCATCCTTTTCAGCCCCCAGGATCTCATTATAATGACCTTGTCAGTAGAAATTTGAAGGAGATCCTTTTTCCATTCACAGGTTGAAATAAGGCATATTTTTAGATTCCCGAATTCTTAGTGAACCACAGAACACGTTTGTTTTAATTAAAAGCAGAAGAAAGATGAGCTGTAATCTTTGATAGGGATACCCTGTTAGCATAATGCCACTCTTATTTATTGAAGCGACTATGTAAGACAGAATGCCTGATATTTGTGAAAGACAGAGAAGGGCCTTATACTTAATAAATGTAATCGGCTGAAAAGCTGGAAAACTGTTCCAATTAAAAAACTTTTATTATGTGGTGATCACTGTGCCTTGCTTTCTACTCTCTAGTACACCAGCCATCTTATTGTGAGTGGAATACAGTATATTAAATGAGTCTCACAGTGTCATGTGTTGTGAGTGTGTCAGGAGAGGTTATCCCTGCACATTCTATGTCAATCAAAAATAAAAAAAAATAATGAAAATTATAACCATCCATTTAAAATGTAAATGCTACATTTTTAACATATTCTAAGTTTGCTATTGCATTATGATGGAAGAATGATTTTTTTTCCCCCAGCATTTAAAGATCTTTTCCAGGAACTAAGAATTATGAACTAATCAAAATTTTATCAAGCTCAAAGCAGCTTAAGAAAACTTGCCCTCAGGAATGCACACCAAATCACAGGGAAAACATGTAGTTCTAGCTCTTGAGCTTTGGAAATTGTTTTCTTAAAATAATTTGCGTCTGGGTCTTTTGACAGCAGTCTTCAAACTTCCATTTACAATTCCATTTACAATTTAAGATACAGCAGTTTCAAGTTAGTAAGCCTTCATCAAGCAGTTACCCTGGTTCACTTTTGTCTGTCCTTGAACTGTCCTTCCATTCATTGTGAAATCATTGGTTTGAAGATCTTGAGCTACCTTGTTTTAGGATGATTAAATTGCTCTGAATACTATAATGAATTCAGGATTACAGTCTACACCACAATCTTTCTTAACACCTGCTATTTCAGAAAATCTCTTTCTACCAGTGCCCCCCCGTCTCTGTAACTCTAACAGCCAATGTCAAATCTGGACCTCTATCAGAAACAATTTTGTAGCACAGCACAAATGGAAGGTCAAATTAATTTTAGAATTTCTCTCCCTCATTATAGGATGTTACACAAAGACAGGAAAATACGTTTAGTGGTTTATCCAGGACCATGCTATTTCAAAATGTTTGTGAAAAAAAGTGATTTGGTGGAAAATAAGGTAATATAGTTTGAAGGGTATTTGTTATTGTACAGTATAAGAGGTGTCATTTTGTGTGGATTACACAGCTAGAACTGGTCCGATTCAAGTCTTGTGCTCAAAATACAGGAGGTGCTACAGTAGACATAGACAGTTGCACTAAATACTAAAGAATTAAAATACCAATGGGCAAATTGATGAAATAGCAACAGAATTAAAAAAGAAAATTAACAATCAAAATTGAAAGTACATAATCAATCAAAATTATTATTATTATTATTTAACAACATTAAAATATGTGAAATAACATTTATAGAAAATTGATAAACGCCTGGCTGACAAGATTAGTTTTAAAATTACATTTTAAAAGTGTCAGCCGACTGTGCTGTCCTGGGATCCTCTGGCAGCCTAGTCCAAAGACCAGAGCTGTACACACTAAAAGCTGCCTCTCCACAGGTCTTGGGACTAATGCTTGGTAAAGCACTGACACAACTCAAATGCCAGTGTCAGAGGACGTGAGGGATCTGACAGGAACATACTGTACTCCGGGAGCATTTCAGACATAGAGTAGATTCAGGTGCAAATCTAGTAAAAGAATTATACACCAATACAAGAATCTTCAAATCAATTCTAAAACTAACTGGCAACCAGTGAAGAGACTTTGAAACGGGCGTGATATGTGCTCTGCTTCTGGTCTTGGTCGGCAGGCGGGCTGCTGCGTTTTCAATCAGCTGTAATTGAAGAACAAGGAGAGGACAGACCCAAAAAAATGTCTTGCTGCCACCTGCAGAAAGTGTGAAGAAGTCATTAGCTGGCCAGCTGGTGATCCCGTTTGGTTTTGTGGAAGGAAGACAAAAGGGCACTAGGCTCTGTCCATTGGTGTCCACTGATGAATTCACTGCTTGTCATACACCACATGCCAGGGCACATCACAGCAATGTAATGGGCCTCTTTCCTTTTATTGCGTTGTAAATGGATTGATAGATGAGCCCTGGGGCCAGTGAACCGTGGACTTGGAGGTTTGCAGTAAGGAGTTTATTACTGTTTAATGTTATTCCTGGTCCGATGTCAACCAAGAGAGATGAGCTAGATTATCAGAGTGTAAGCTTGGTGCCTGAGTTGGTGTTCGCCTCATTTATCCACCTTATTCTCACAGTCTCCGGCTGTACAGATGATGAAGGCTATTACAGAAGGCTGATAGAGACATTACGAAAAATGTTCCATCTTTAAAACCTTCCTTCTGAGAGCACACAGAAGGCAGACACTATTTTTATGCCCCACTTTCAATACTGTCTGTCTGAAAACATTTTCTTAACTGCAGGTAGGATTTCAATCTAAAAGATACTGCTCAAAATCTATTTTAACAGGATTTAATAGATTTTTATGATCGCTTTATACACTATTTATTAAACATCCAAGAAGAAAAAGTGTTTTGCCATTGGTACTTTGTTGTATTTTGAAAAAAAAACTCTAACTTTTAATTAATTAATAATAATAATAATAATAATAATTGCTTACACTTATATAGCGCTTATCTGGACACTCCACTCAAAGCGCTTTACAGGTAATGGGGACTCCCCTCCACCACCACCAGTGTG